GACCTTATGCAGTTCCGCAGGGCCTGCAAGACGGAGCTCTTCCGCCAGGCTTTTGAGTAGGAGCCGCTGCCCCAGATTATACCACCACCGTTAAGGTGTCTCAAAGGATGCATCAACGAGGCCCAAGGAAGACGTTGGAAATTGTAGAAGAGCTTCGGCCATCGTCACTGGACACGTACTTTTTGGAAGCACCATCTGTAACTGTGGAGTTACCATCTTGGACTTAGGACATCAGTTACGAATTGAGCACAGTGGTTTTAATGTTGAATGTTTATTATGTTTTTATATGTTTTTATTCTGGCATGGCTGTGGGATATAAATGTGAAAAATAAATAAATAAATAAAGGATCAATCTAGAACATCCCTGACAAGTGTTCATCCAGCCGCTGCTTAAAGACTGCCAGTGAGGGGGAGCTCACCACCTCCCCAGGCCCCTGATCCCACTATTGCACAACTCTTCCTGTCAAAAAGTTTTTCCTAAGATCCAGCCGGTACTTTCCTGCCCTGAATTTAAACCCATTATTGCGAGTCCTACCTTCTGCTGCCAACAGAAACAGCTCCCTGCCCTCCTCTCAGTGACAGCCCCTCACGTACTTCAAGAGAGCAATCATGTCCCCCCTCAGCCTCCTCTTCTCCAAACTAAACATTCCCAAGTCCCTCAGCCTTTCCTCACAGGGCTTGGTCTCCAGGCCCCCAATCAGCCTCGTCACTCTCCAGTCATCATTTTCATATCAATACATAAACTTATTATACAATCATTCCCAATATTATGATGGAAAGGAACATCAATAGAGCAAGTAGAGCATCCGACTGCCCCGTAAAGACAAAAACCTGACGGGGGTGGGAACACACTGATCAGATATCAGAAATGTAATACAGAAAATGGGCTAGATCAGGGGTCCCCAATGAGGTCCCCGTGAGCCCCGTGGTGCCTACCGACCCTACCGACACCTTTCTTGGAGCCCACTACGTGTTTTTTGAAAATTGGGTGGGTCCAGGTGGGCCTCTTACTTTCAGATTTGCCACTGAAGATCTGATTGGCTATGCAGATTAAAGCTACATTGTTTAAGCAGCCGTTGCTACCACAGTGTTGGTTTTATTCTCTCTCACTCTTCTTTCCCAGGGTATCCTTAAACCACACCTCTTCTCGTCTGTACTTGGGCTTCCTCTGTGTGTGGCTCCGCCTCCAGCAGCAGCCATTTTGTGATAGTGCCCACTGCTCAAAGGTGCTTACTGGCTCAAAAAGGTTGGAGACCGCTGAGTAAGGCACCAAGAGGTGAGACTTCGGTCCCAATTATTTTTAACCATCATTGAAACAAAAAACTGCAAGAAGCAGCAAGTAGGTGCTTAACCGCCCTGCTCCATTAAAGTCCAATGAGCTCCCAGCAATGGGAAAGCTTTATACAGTTCCTGAGGCCTATCGCACCAAACCATGGTTACAAAAGCTTAACTGTGCTTTAGCAGGGTGCCTAAACTGACAAACCACGATTTATGATCATCCAGCAAACCAGAATCAGGACCTGTGGTTTGAAGCGGGTTTCCAAACCATGGCTTGTGCTATCTTCCGTTTGTCATGGTGTCTAAATGGACAAACTGTAACTTGTGATCAGCCAGGACACCAGGATCAGGAAGTGTAGTTGGCAGTGGATTTTCAAACTACTGTTTGTGCTAACTATGGTTTGGCTTGATGCTAGAACTGACTGGACTAGCCCTGCCCCATGGAAGTGCAAGTGCTGAAGAGATGGAAAATTAACCAGGCAAGCAGCCCCAAATCATGGTTTACTAAGTGGACAGAGAACAGAAGGAAACAAACAGCTGTAAACTATGGTTTAGCATCTAACCTATGGCTAGCACAATTCATGATTTGGTGTGATGTTTGAGTTATGTTATTGTTTCTCCCATAAAGAATCACCCGCTCCCTTTGATGGCTTGTTGACAAGTGATAGAATAGAGGTCAAGACAATACAGACCAAGTTTTTAAGTCACACTGATAGGTGCAAGAGCTATTGCCATAATTGGTACCAAGGTAGCCAGTCAGGGAGCCTGTTATTTGCTGAACTCCACCTGCTTGAAATAAACAGGATAGAATGTGGAATAAGATTCAGTTCTAGATACTCAAGAAAGTGGCACATTTCAGACAGCCTCTCAGCTGGCCACAGACATTCAGACAGGGCTAGAAGACCCCAGGGACCCTCTCATTAGTACAACTGGCATCACTGTAGCTAGTCAGGGAGCCTGTCAGCAGCTGCACCCTGCCCCTTTGAAATAAACAGGAGAGAATGTGAAATAGGACTCAGTTCTAGACACTCAAGAAAGCTGTGCATTTCAGACAGCCTCTCAGCTGGCCACAGACATTCAGACAGGGCTATAAGACCCAAGGGACCACCTCATTAATTCCTGCTTTTAATGGTGCTCAGTGAAGCTGTTAATTATTTCTTACTAGCTGCTAATTGTTTTTCTTGGACATCCAGCTCCCTGGTCCTGCAAGCCACCAAGTGCAACAGAATATGCCAGACTTGGGCCAGAAAAGAGGAAATGCCTCCTGTCCAGGAACACGTATCACAGAACTAGTTTCTAGGGTGACCAACAGCAGTGTTCCCTCTAAGATGAGTTAGTGTGAGCCAGCTCACACATTTTTGTCTCAGCTCAGGAAGGATGGCCCCAGAGCAAACTAATTTATGCAGTAGCCAAATCGCTCGCTCACAACTTTAATGCCAGTAGCTCACAAAGTAGAATTTGTGCTCCCAAGACTCCACAGCCTAGAGGGAGCATTGGCTGGCAGCCCTAACTGGGAGCTTTAGCATCCCATAATCCTACTCTGGGAAACCAAGTGATGCTGTGGTGCATCAATCTGGGACAGAAAGGCTTGCAGATCTACTGACTTCCCTCTCCGTTTGGGCAACTTATCACTGCAGGAGGTCACGCAAGGGAAACCTCCTCCTCCTCCTCCTCCTCCTCCTCCTCCTCAGGAGGTCACGCAAGGGAAACCTCCTCCTCCTCCTCCTCCTCCTCCAGACTTCTGGCTTCCATCCAACTTGTCTCCAGCTTGCCTCCTGCCTTTAGGCACCTGGGCAATGTATGTATTAGCTGCAGGAGCTGCCTCTTCGAACTCTCACTATGTTTTGCATAGTGGCCATAACTGGTACTTCAATTCAGTTCATAGCTTATTTCAATAAGAGATCAGTAACAATAAGGATAAGGAAAAGAAATAATGAAGAATAAGATGAAAAATAAGGAATGAAATATAAAATGAGGAACAGTGCAACAACGAGCACTGATTTGTGAGAGGACGGAGAGATGGCGCCTTTCTCCGACGGGTTATTATCAAGACTCGTCAGCCGCTTGCATATCCCACAAGCCCGAAGGCACAATTCAGCTAGTTATTTGTCATCTCCCGGGGGGGAATCTGCAAGGAGGAGGGAGACGTAAAGTTGTTCGGATCTTCCTGGTAGAGTTGATAGGATTGGGGCTGTGTACCGAGATCAAATGTCATTGTAGAATGGGCAGTAGAATGGTCGATAGCCTCTACTCTACCACTACACCAAACTGGCTCTCCAGTTTGGTGCAGTGGTTAAAGAGCGCAGACTCTAATATGGGGAAACCAGGTTTGATTCCCCACTCCTCCACTTGCACCTGGCTGGATGACCTTGGGCAAGCTGTAATTCTGATAAGAGCTGTTCTTGAAAAAGAGCAGTTTCTGTCAAGAGCTCTCCCAGCCCCACCTCCCTCACAGGGTGTCTGTTGTGGGGAGGGGGGGGGAAGGGATTGTAAGCTGCTCTTTGGATAGTGAAGGGCAAGGTATAAATCCAATCTCTTCTCTTCTTCTTTCCCTGCACGGCATGGGCCGAGCCGTTGAGGGAGTGGGACGCGATGATATCTGCCTTCCAGGAGGGCCAAACTGGTACTTCTTGAGTTAGACCAAGAGGCACTATTCATGGCCAGGCTAAGCAGTATGCTAACCACATGATCTGAGGTAAATCTCACTGGATTCAGTGTTCTTTACTTTTGAGTAAACCTGGATAGAATTATACTATGTGTGTTGTAGACTACACTGGCTAAACTAGAGCTTTTACAATGATGCAAGTCTTGATTTTCCCGCATCTCAGAAGAGGGTAGATTTCCCTTCCCCGTATCTGATAAACAACAACCATCTGAGGAAACTGAACCTGATAACATGATCTCGTTGGATCTGGGAAGGTAAGCAGGGTTGGTACTTGGAAGGGAGACCTCTAAGGGAGAATCTGCGGAGGAAGACAGTGGCAAACCACCTCCACTTCTCACTTGCCTTGAAAAAGCCTTTGCTGGGGTCACCACAGCACTTTACACACACATCTGATATAACCCACAGCCATCTGAGGAAACGGAAGATGATAAACATGATCTCATCAGATTTTGGAACCCAAACAGTGTCAGCTCTAGTTTGTGCTTGGATGGGAGACCACCAAAGAAGTCTAGGGTTGCTTCGCAGAGGCAGGCAGTTGTAGTCACCTAAGTCAAGGGTGGCTTGACAGCAAAGAACACATTTAAATACAAATCTGACTGCTTCTCTACATGAATCACAGTGTTACCGCGATGCATATTCATGGGCCATGCAAGTTGAATCCCGCAATATGGTTCTCCACATGTTCCCGGTAACCTACATCTTGCTGCAAAGCAAAATGCAATTCTTGGTTGGAATGTTCTGCAGGAAATAACTGCTGAAGTGTGCATGTATGGAAAAGGGGGAGTGATCAAATAAGGGCTTATAGACATTTGTGGTTTTCCGACTATGTTTCAAATGCAATATACACATCTATTACATGCAGCTTTGCAAAACGGCATAATTGAATTGCCAAACCTCTCCCCTTCCCACTCATCCACACTTCCTCCCCTCCTTCCATTCCTCGGCTGCTTATGCTACACCCCTCATCACATGGTGAGACGAAGGAAAGCGAAACATTCATGGAATAAGAGAAGCTGACAATTCGAGGGGAGGGGGAAGGGCAAAGGGGAGCTCTTACTTGCAATCGTGTTTCTCGATTTCAAAGTGAGGATTGAAGTTGAGGATAATCTTCTGATTGGGCTCTGGAGCGTAAATGATCCACTCGCAGTTCTGGTGGGAGGGGTAGTCCTGCGGATAGCCAGGTGAAGTGATGTAGCCAGCATCTTTGGAATTCAAACGGCCCCCGCACGATTGAGCTGCGAAAGAGACAAAAAGAACCCCAAAAGCCTTGAAATTAAAAAACAGCGGCTGAAATCAGTTAGGCAACTTCAAATGCATCACCGTTTATTCCTCTGAGTCTGAAAGTGGAGGATGCCCGAGTTGGGTCTTTCTTTTTCTTTTTACCTCCTCCTGCCTTTCTTTCCTTTTTTTAAAAAAAATGTTTTACAGACATATATTCTCCAAGTACAAAGGAAATCTCTGGACACTTCGAGTGAAGGTGATTACTCTACATAACAATCCTCCCCACACACGGACACATACCACATCTTAGACAGACCAGAAAAAAGCAAGAGCTATAAATGCAACCTCCTACACGATTTCAGATGGGGTTTTTTTTTTCCCCCAAACAGACAACACAGACATCAGATTATTTGGAAATGGAACTGCCTCTCTTTCTTCCCCTTCTGTTAGCTCTTTTACAAGCAATTCTATGGCTTTCTTCCATCGTTACCCTAACAGCACCTCACAGACTTTATTAGATCCAAACTGAACAAAACCACCTCTTGCAAAGCAGGGGAGTGGGGGGGGAATCCCTGCTTTACAAAACAGGAATAGCTCAGAGAGCAGTACTGCCAACCAGTGTTCCCTCTAAGCTGAGTTAGTGTGAGCTAGCTCACAGTTTCTTAGCCTCCGGCTCACACGTTTTTGTCTTAGCTCAGGAAGGATGGCTCCAGAGCAAACTGATTTATGCAGCAGCCTAATCGCTCGCTCACAAATTTAATGCCCGTAGCTCACAAAGTAGGATTTTCGCTCACAAGACTCCACAGCTTAGAGGGAACATTGCAGTGCCAACTGTGGGTTAGGATATACCTGGAGATTTGAAGGTGGAGTGTGGGAGAGGGAGAATAAACATTCTAAATAAACAAATAATAAATAAATACATTATTTATGTAGTCTGGAGACCAGTTGTCATTCCGGAAGATCTCCAGCCTTCACCTGGAGGTTGGCAGCCCTATCACGAAAAGAAGCAGGCCAACCCATAACAAGTCCAATGCCCTAGATAAAGTTAGATGCAATGCAACCCTGCCTTGACCCTTCTTTCCCAAGTTTTGGTATCGCTCTACATACAGCAGGTAGAGAAAGAAGTACTTTTCTCCCTTTCCCACCATACAAGAACTCGTGGGCACTCAATGAAATTGCTGAGCAGTCAGATTAGAACAGATAAAAGGAAGCACTTCTTCACCCAAAGAGTGATTAACACATGGAATTCACTCCCACAGGAGGTGGTGGCGGCTACAAGCATGGATGGCTTCAGGAGGGAATTGGATAAACATATGGAGCAGAAGTCCATCAGTGGCTATAGCCACAAGGTATAGATAGGAACTCTGGGGCGTTTGATGCTTGGGGGTGAGCAACTGTGGGAGGGCTTCTAGTGTCCTGGCCCCACTGGTGGACCTCTGATGGCACCTGGTATTTTTGGCCACTGTGTGACAGAGTGTTGGACTGGATGGGCCATTGGCCTGATCCAACATTTGGCTTGTCTTACGTTCTTATGTTCACTCCCTCCCGCCCACCCCCCGCCAATCCCAGTGGCCTGTCTGGCTCTTCTCTGACTTATAAACGATAAGGTAAAAATTTACAAACACCATGTTTTGGCCATATCACTTTAGGAAAGGAACATTCTTGTGGTTGCCCAGCATAGAATTGGTCTGGATGTGTTTCAGCTCTGGGGGAGCACTCTTTCACGTGGCACCTGGAGATCTTCCACTATTCCAGTTGATCTCCAGACACCCAAGATTAGTTCTCCTGGAGGAAGCGGCTGCTTTGGAGGGTGGACTCTATGGCATTGTACCCTGCTGAGGTCCTTGGCTTCCCCGAACCCCACCCTCCCCAGGCTCCACCCCCGAATTGCCACGTATTTCCTAACCCAGAGCCAATCTTGGGATATAGATTCAAGGGGAAGGAAGGAAGGTCCTAATAATTATAACAACACTGTCGACACAGAATAGCCATCTTTCTTTCTGTCCCTCTTTCGCAAAGGGCGGTGTCCCTGTGTCATGAACACCAAATATTTGAGACGTACGTTAGCCCAGTCAGAGCAGCAGGCTGAACCCAGAATACAGTGCTGCTCTGGAGAAATAATCTGAAGGACAGCTTGAACATGGTTTGAATGGTGTCCCCACAAACACCGAAGTGTACTGGAAGCAACCTGAGAAGTTACAAAACCACATAATGGCCCTTTCTCGGCCGGCATCCTAGACAAATATCTTCCCTGAGAATTTCAGGGCTGGGTCTGTAGAGAAGGTCTACGTGTCCCACATGGGCCCACACAGGAGGTTTCTGCAGCGATGGCTTCCAGATCACATTTTGGGATTCCTCGCTTCAGATCCAACCACAGGACTGTACCTTCCACGCCCCCCCCTCCTTCCCTTCCCAAACTCTCTTGGCTTTCCCCCTTCATCTCCTCCCCGTCTCCCTCCCAAGATTTCAAGCCAAGCTAAGCAAGTTGGAATTAAAGACTGCAATAATCAACACTGGTGGTTTTTGTGGCGCTGGCCCACAAATAGCCTGGTAACAATTACATTGTGAGCGAGGAAAAGCACTTTCAGCCCTTGGTTATAACAACAGGCCCTGGAGGGTGATTTCATCTTCAAGAAAACATTTCATCTTATGAATGCCACAAATCTGATTTATTATTTCATTACCGGCTGGGGGGTGGGGCGGGGAGAGAATCTGCATCACACACACGCACAATTGATAACATACTGAGGAATCCCAGCAATGCCCCCTTCTTCCCCACACGATGTCTACCAGGCACGTCACTTTGACTCTCCCCAGACCCATCTGAAGTGATGCAGCTGCACATCTGATGCTGCCCCGCTGCAATCCAAAGAGGAATGGCCTGTAGGATGTCCATGGACTACCTATCTCGAATGGCTATAGAGTAGGGGTTGGGGATAAGGGAAGAGAGGAGAACAGGCCGTGGCTCAGTGGTAGAGCATCTGCTTGGCATGCCGAAGGACCCAGGTTCGATCCCCAGCCAAAGATACATAGCCGGAAATTTTAAAAAAAAATGGCAATCCCCAACCAGGAGCATGCACAGATATACTTTCTGCTCATGTCCAAGGTTCATCGGACCACGGCTCAAACGTGAGGGGAAGGAGGGTGTTCCCACAACACGTCAGCTCACATTTCTGTACAGCGGAGGCAACTGATTCACGTCTACTACTTGAGTGGCCCAGGCTAGCCTGATATCATCAGAAGCTAAGCAGGGTTGGCCCTGGTTAGTACTTGGACTGGAGACCCCTAAGGAACCCCAGGGTTCCTCTGCAGAGGCAGGCAATGGCAAATGACCTCTGCTCATCTCTTGCCTTGAAAACCCCTGTGGGGCGGCCATACGTCAGCTGTGACTTGACGGCACTTTCCATCACCACTTCTTCACAAATGAGAACAAAATGGAGGCCAAGACTGGCTCTGGACTGAGGGCCTGAAACGGTCCTGGGGTGGAGTAAGCCACTGGTGTCACGTCAAAAATGCATGACTGCGCCCTTGCGCTATCAAGTGGACAATGTGCACCACCAACCACAGCCAGCCCAACCCAGCCCAGCCCCCTGTCATTCTCCTTTTTGCTGCTGCGGAAAAGGCCAGCAAACAGGTCGGCTCAATGGGCTGCCCAAATCACATTGGAAGCTAGGGCTGTGCATGTTGCAGAAGAAGAAGAGGAAGAGGAGGAGGAGGAGATTGGATTTATACCCCGCCCTTCACTCGGAGTCTCAGAGCGGCTTACAAACTCCTTTCCCTTCCCCTCCCCACAACAGACACCCTGTGAGGTCGGTGGGGCTGAGCGAGCTCTTTCCAGAACTGTCCTTGAGAGAGCAGCTCTGACAGAACTATGGCTTGCCCAAGGTCATCCAGCTGGTTGCATGTGGAGGGGTGGGGAGTCAAATCCGGTTCTCCCAGATTAGAGTCTGCTCACTTAACCACTACGCCAAACTTGCTCAAGCACTATTGATGCTTGTTCTACACTCTGCATCCAACCTGCCACCCCAAACCTCACTCTCTTGGGTGGCAGTTCAGTCAGTAGGTGTCAACACTGGCACCTCCTCCTCCTGAGGAACTACAAGAAAACCTGGGTTTTCTTGCTTGTATATATGAGCCACAATGTAACAGAAAGCTTTCTGGTACAGTACTCAACTAAAAGCTGTCACCCTATACTAAACCAGGAAACAAAAAAACCAATTTAAACACATTATATGTGTTTTCCTCCTGTGATTTGAAGACAACCTCAAGATTCAAGTACATGTGTTTTAATGCAAGCAGACGAAGCTTGACACTTTTCAGGGCACAAAGGGTGGGAAAGGGGATGAAAGAAGGAAGAGGTATGGGCTGCCACAGGTGGCCAAAAGGACAGGTAGTCAGGTGCTATTTCCCCCTCCTGCCTGAAACTTCAAAGGAAATCTTACTCCTGCTTGGTCTGCAGTTATTGCCATTGAGAATTAAAGTTTATTGAGCTGTGTGTCAATCAAGGATACTTTGACATGCCCAGACAGAGTGGAAATACCTTTCGTGGGTTACTAAAGACATATTCTCCCAGCTGTTTGAATCTTTGGTCCAAAACACCTGATTGTAAGATTGAGGCTCACCAAACAAAGTAAAATATTGGGCACCCCAGAGTTTGGCATTTATGAAGCTGTTTTTTTGTGGGATCCATAACGTTTTAGATATGAATGATATTCAGGTATTAGGCAGGGTTTCCACTGGGCTAATATGAAGATTTTGCAATCGTTTGGTTTTATTCTACTGAATTGCCATATGCCCTTGGGTCAGTATCTGCATGTGAGCCAGTTTGGTGTAGTGGTTAAGAGCGCGGACTCTAATCTGGGAGAACCGGGTTTGATTCCCCACTCCTTCACTTGCACCTGGCTGGATGACCTGGGGCAAGCCATAGTTCTGTTAAGAGCTGTTCTTGACAAAGAGCAGTTTCTGTCAAGAGCTCTCTCAGCACCACCTACCCCACAGGGCGTCTGTTGTGGGG